TTGGTTATTGAGAAGAAGTTGTTTAAAGTTTTTAACATATTTGACCCCTGTGACCTTGAAAATAGATGAAGGTCATTTATTTGAACAAACTTGGTAGCCCTTCACCCTAGCATGCTACTGACCAAATATCATCTCCCTGGGCAGTTTGGTTATTCAGAAGAAGTTGTTTAAAGTTTTTAACATATTTGACCCCTGTGACCTTGAAAATAGATGAAGGTCATTTATTTGAACAAACTTGGTAGCCCTTTATCTCAGTTTGCTTCTGGCTAAATATCATCACCCTAGGCCTTTTGGTTATTAAGAAGAAGTCGTTTAAAGTAAAATATTGACGCCGGACGACGGACGGACGACGGACGGACGGACGACGGACGGACGGACGACGGACGCCGCACCACGGCATAAGCTCACTTGGCACTTCGTGCCAGGTGAGCTAAAAATGGGGTTCAAGACTGGGATGGACATGCACCAACCTGGATTTGTAAATCACTGATGTACATGACACTTATAAGCACTAGATCTGCTTTGGTTGGTTAGAGTGTATCTGTTAGCGCTAAGTGTACATCATTGATCCATCACATCCAGAATGGTGCATGTCCATCCCAGTCTTGAACTTCATGTTTCTTTTCATAGAATGTACAAAGGAAATTACATGTAATTAAAAGGGAAAAAAAGGCGGGTGAGGAATTGAGTTTTATAAGAATCTTATTTTTACTTACTCTGCCAAACTGTTGGTTGAAAAAATCACTGACTACAATGATAGGTTTGGTGATGATCTGTATCAGGGTGGGAGACAGTGTAGCATGGTTATAACAGAGTGTTAATCTGAGGAGCTGGAAAGAAGTGAAAATATTGTCCAGTCTTCTTTTTAACCGCCATGGAAATTTGTATAATTTCCACTTGAATAAAGCCATTGTCAGCTACTGTCACGGTCCATCCACGGAAGTAGAAAATAATTCTCTACACGTTGTTCATGGGCTGCATTCTCTGCCTCAACTCTGTCATTTATTCAACTGGTCAAGATTAATATGCTCATCTGAAAAAGGTAACACAAAGGTGTGCTTCAATTTTGTACAGCTGATTTACAAATACTGGCACTGATCAATACAATAATATATTATTATATTTTTTCCTTTTTTTGTTTGTTTAATTGTGGGTAGTCTGAATTATTCTGACGTTTTATCGACTTTTTTCATATCGGTCTGTCGTCGATTAACGTCAGAACTCCGGCCCTCTATAATATGCGGGAAATATGCGCCCTGCGCCAGGAGCGCACTTCAATCTGATATTTTAAAAACAAATCGTCACTTTCACACACATGTCGCACATGGATCGAAAGATCTATTCTTTATACACTAGGTGGTATCATTAACATGTTTCAAAGATCATTACGAAAAGTATTTTCCAACGTTTTCTATACCAACCCATGTTTTTAATGAAAATTAGGCCATGAGCAATGTCACATGACTTGACGAGATCTCGCGTTACCGAAGGTATTTCCCAACGTTATCATGTAGGCCGGCGAGATTTTAGTCACGTGGCATTAGAAGGCGGGGCTATAAAAAAACAGAGTAAGTTTGAAAAAATATGTTTTTTGTTATTGAATTGGTTGTTTGAGGCATGTTATGTATGTTCATCTTGTGCATAAAGAATAGATCATTCGATCCATGTGCGACATGTGTGTGAAAGTGACGATTTGATTCTAAAATATCAGTTTGAAGTGGGCTCCAGGCGCGAATCGCATATTATAGAGGGCCAGAGTTCTGACGTTAATCGACGACAGACTGATATGAAAAAGTTGATAAAACGTATGAATAATTCGGACTAAATTGTGGGGCGCACTGGTGGGAACAAGCACTAGTCATCTAGGCACCACAGCTCACCTGCTAAATGAATTCATGTAGGTCTCTAATCTCAGCTACATGTCTACTGTAGTCAAAATATTTCTTTAGTGATTAGACTGTTNGGGGGGACGACTGCCAATGCAGTAGCCCGAATTTCCTCAGGTCCTGACACAAGACTTAGACATTTTGACAGATACATGTAGATGTCTGATGTAGGCCTTCATGTGGAGCAGTACAGTTATAGCTACATGTAGTCTAGATCTGGTGACACTGACATGCCTACAATAGCTATCGTCTACACCATTCTGTAACCTATAAAAAACGTAGATGAAACAGATTTGGTTCCAGAGGAGCAGTACTCTATAATTGTAATTTCTGTTATTTCAAGACTTCAATGTGCTGATTTACACAGGACTTCATCTTTTTCTACCTACCGAAATATTTTCGTCTGTCTCAATAATTCGGAAACGTTTCCCCGATCACGATGTCCGGCAAATCTAATATACAGAGGCTAGGAGGAAAGACGGATAAAAAGTCCGGAATATAATTCATTTTTACGAGATTGAGCAACTGAGTTGAGATGTTAAAGCGGCGTGTGGTTGACTGTGGTAGTCGGACCTCGGTTTCTTTTCACTTCCCTGAGTTAATTCATTTAATTTCATTTAGATTTTATCTTAATATAAAAAAATAAGTTAGACATTTGAAGTGAATTATTATCTCGGACACCGTCCGTATAAAAGCGAATGTGACAAGAGAATTCGAGAGTTGATTCCCTTCGCACGTCTAGCGTAGGGGATATCCGTCCTTTGATCAAGATAAAAACCAATCACGTTTACCGTTGCGTTGCCAAATGATTTCTTTGATGCACATTAAGTCCCGTACATACAGAGCCTTCAGTTTGCCATGAAGTATTCTATGTTTTTGGCAATGATATAAACTTGATGAATTGGTCACAGTGTAGCAGGGCACTAATATAACCGCGATGTATAGTGAGAATATTTCATCCATAAATACACAAATTAATAGAGGAATGACCTTAAATGTACTTGGTCTTTCAATATAAGTTAAGTTAAGTTTATTTTTGGTTCAGGACTATTAAAGTCCTCTATATCAGACTCTCAAATTAATAGATTAAACACTTTTGTCAAATACTTCTATCCGGTATACTTGTACAATGATGTCTACGATTTGTTTGTTGCTTTTGTTATTGAAGAAAAGTTCTTGATTTTTCCAGTGATTGCCTAGCTTGTTTTTAAAATAATTAACGACATTTAATGCTGATTAGCCTGAGTTTCTTCTGGCCCTGACACCAGACTTTAGACATTTTGACAGATAGATGTCTGGCGTGGGTGCCCACACCAACCAGACATCTATATGGTGTAGGGGGCCCACACCAACCAGACATCTATATGGTGTGGGGGCCCACACCAACCAGACATCTATATGGTGTGGGGGCCCACACCAACCAGACATCTATATGGTGTGAGAAGATACGACATGTTCTGGAAGTTCATTTCAAATTGTCACTGTTCTGATTGAGAAATAGTTATTTTCTGAGCATATTTATTGATCGTTTAGGGAATATTTTTTTGGTGTGTCCTCTGCCACTGTGGCGATCAGCGGCAACTTTCCATAGTTAAATAGCAGTAAAACATTATTTATCATAAATTTGGCATATGATTTTGTACAGTTCTATCTAATATCCCCTAATTCTCCTGAAAGTCATTGTTGGTAGCTTTAGTTTCGCCAACCTCCCACTGTAGGTCAGGTCCCACATTCACGGGAGACAGTTAGTCGCCCCTCTTCAGGGGCGGATCCAGGATTTCCTAAAAGGGGGGGCCGAGAAATTTTTCTCAATAGTCAACGGTGTGCTGCGAAAGGCAGCAGCCCGAGCGCGTAGCGCGAGGAGGGGGAGGGTACAGACCCCCTCCCCGTAAGGGGGGTTTGGGGGATCTCCCCCCAAAAAAATGTGTTTTCTAGAACGTCTCAGAAGCGATTTCCCGTGTTCTGAGGATTGTTTTTATGTTTAATTAACAAGAAGAAAAAAGCATATTTTAAGTATGGCCCAAAGACTTTTTTTGTGTACTGGAAAGAAAATTAAAGTTTCGGTTCAAATTCTCTATCAACAGCGTGTTTTAGAAGTCAGATGGTATTATTATAGGGGCAACCTGGTGATGACAAATGTATGAATCCACAGGGGGCTTGTTCATTATTACCTAATTTGGCGTCCCGCCCGCAAGGGGGATACGAGAGGTCCACCGTCAAAATATAAATCTAGTCTTCAGACATTGTACGTTTGTCGTACAAAAGAACAAATAACACCATAACATCGTTGCTGTTTAATTAATGAGTTACTCATGGCATCACTAAGTTGCTAAACAAACGGTAAGTTCAAATCAGTGCGACACCCAAGGCCACTAGCTATATACAGGGGCGTTTCTAGGATATTTGAAAGAGGGGGCGTAGAATAAAATCTGTCGCCGAGCGGAGCGAGGCGAAAAAAGTTTTGGACCTTTTTTTTGCTAAAAAACATAAAATAATTGTGAAATGCACTAATGTAACGGTTCCTGACTTGGAGCATGTATATTTTATAGTTGAAGTGTCATGGTTTGACATTTTTTTTTATCAGAGTATGTCTTTAATTAATGAATATGATAAATTGCCATATTCAATACAATATTAGCAGATTACGATAAAAAAAAATCCTTTTTTGTTTTGAAAAGGGGGCGTACGCCCATTACGCCCTCACCTGGACCCGCCCCTGATATAGTCTCGCGTTTTATAATTGTTGACTAATTCACTAGTGTAGACAATGATATATCTGAAATGTCCACGCTGATTAACTCATGTAAGGGCGTGCATATTACCAACGGTGGTACATTTGCTAAGCTATCTGGTTAAAATGGTACAACTTAGGAGGCACATACGCGTCACCTTTAAATTTAATTTAAAATTATCATACTTGTAAGTACAGCATATCATCTCATTCTGGTACGTACAACTTATTACTACGTACACAATAGTATGCTGTGTGAAGATACTTTCTTGTACGTACACGATGGTAAGCTATAAGTACCACAATGAGATATTATGTTGTACATACAAGATAGTTAAACAGTTCCAACAATATATATAATACCAAAATAATTGAATGGATATGTTTAGTCGATTATACATAATATTGTCAGCCGAAAAAAACCTTTATCGTTCTTGTATAATGATATGATTAATATCGCCCGGGCGGTTAGGAAGGTTACAATAAAAAGTATTAATTTTCAGATCATCTATAACGAGCGGTAAATAATATAATTATGCAACTTATGCTAGTATATTTCCGCCGAGCGTTGCAAGTTGCAACTTGGGGTTTTGCGGAGGTGGTAAAATAAAAAACACACTTTAGGGTCAAGGTACAAAGTAGACGCGCGTAGCGATGCCAACAAATATTGTTTTAATAAAGAAAATATAGTAAAAATATCAGATAACGGAAACACACAATATTTGCTAGGATGCCGTATGGGATGTGTGGGGCGTAGCCCCAGATTTTTTTTTATACAAGCTCCGTGCATTATTTGATGCATTTTAAAATGTTAATATGTTTCCATTCCTGGCCGATCAGACCATTATGGACCGGGGCCGGGTGTGCCCCCCCCCCCCCCCCCCTAAATCCGCGCCTGCTCTTTGAACTCCCTCTATCTTGTCAATTTTTTTTGTAGGCGTGCACGTGGTGCCCTAGCATAGTCCAGCTGCGATCTAATGACATGATGTCTATGAACTGAAATGTTCTCCTGAGAAGTACGAATATAGAGTTTGCTTTTTGAACTTTTTTCTGAGATGTGCTCATCCAATGATAGACCAGAGTCTATAATTACTCCTATATCCATTTCTTGATTTATCTCTGCGTGTATTTCCCATGGAGATGGTAGGCTGGTCCAACCTCATTTTTCCCTCTGCTTCTGTCCTTGCCTATTCTCATATGTTTACACTTGTCTGGTTGCATCTTTAGGAGCCATGTGTCACTCCACTTACACATTCTATCAAGATCTTTCTGAAGCTCAACACGACTGTGTTTTTTTGTTGTTATTTTAAATATTTTAGAGTCGTCTGCAAATATGTTCATATCCGACTGACCCGCTCCTGAAAATTACAAACACCAATGGTCCTAGCACGGAGCCTTGTGGATTCCTGGGCTACATTCGCGTTACCGGTTGAAACGGTACGTGTGGCGCAGAAATTTTCCACGATAAACGAACACACTTGGACCGTTCTATAAGCAGAGCTAAAAATCCACAGTTTCGGAGAATAATAAACAATGTATCAAGAATATTATGCCCTTCTCTCACGCGTCAACTAAATTACATAACGTATCTTAAAAAATACATGTGGCTTGACATTGTTTTAGAAAGAAATAACGCAAACTAGCAATATTCAGCAGTTTAGTTTCGGCCAGGTACGTCTGGACCCCTCAATCTACACGGACCAAATTTTCCTGAGGTCAGCCTCGGTCCCAATCTGTACCTGTCGTTTTCTTTACAGGTTCAACCGGTTCAACCGTTTCAACCGGTAACGCGAATGTACCCCTGATCTCTTTAGGCTCCGTATAGTATCAACCTATTTTATCCAAATAAAAAGATCCTCCTATTAAATAATAATTAACGGTCATTACAATGCAACACAAATGAAATGCATCTCTAATTTCATTAATATTACATAGATTAAAAATAATTTATTCTCTTGGGATGTTGTCCCTTATGTCGCATGGGTGCAGAGAACGAAAGAGAGCGCAACCCCTGGACTTTCGACGATCATCTATGCTCATTCGCTCGTCGGAGCGCTTTACGAAAATCCAAAAGGCTCTTTATATAAGAGTGATAAATCATATTGCATCGACGCCGTTGAAACATATTGTGACGTCATCGTAATTATCTTATTGTCTTGTCACGTGTACATTGACTTAACTAATTGTTTCTTCTATTGTTACGTCAAATTGTTATCCTTCACAACACAATAACTGAGTTTCCCCAGTGGACAGCTTTTGTTGGGAACATTGTTATTATGGACCCAGTGACTACGCTATCTTAAACGTAAGTACTATAATTATATAAGACTAGAAACAAACTAAACTTCAGCAATATACACTGTGGAATATATATGAACTGCGTTTTGACTTTGGTCACCTAAATACCATGTTTAATTATTTGAATTGTTTAGTAACACTCTCCCTTTAGGTTTCCCTATGATCCATTCCTACCCAGTATTTGTATCTTCGAATTCAACACCAGAAGTTTATTTCGAAACAGACGACGTTTAAATGGTCTTATTCCCGTCGCACAAATCCTTATGCTAAAACGAGAAATTCCTTTTACGCAAAACCTTATGCTAAAAAGAACTAATCATTATTTCACTATTTTTCGAGATGTAGGTTGACGCACGCAATCCGATATATAGATGTTGGCAGTACTCGGGGGATCTCCACAACCCCGATCGCGTGGGATCTTTGACCCGACATCCGGGCGATTCGTTGACTTTTTAACAAGGAAGCCGGTTGCTGAAATCACCAACGGTATGATACACACTGTCTAAATTATTTATGGTTATCATTAACAAATCTGTCAGTATCACATGTCATAATATTTAAAAATATAGTATTGTAACAGGTAGGAAAAAAAATGCACGGCCAGACTGGGGTTCGAACCCAGGACCCTCCGAACTCTAGACGAACGCTCTACCAATTGAGCTATCTGGTCGCCGACGTTTGACCCAGTCCAGTTCCGCTTCATTCATCCCCTCCCCCTCCCCCTCCCCCTCCCCCTTTTCTAAGTCTTCGCCCCGAAGACACAACTATTTACAATCCAGGTTCGGGTATCCCCTTGTCAAGCATACGCCAAATGCTTGACACAATGGTTGGTCACGGGTACCACTGTAACAAGTGAGGGGAAATGCACGGCCAGACCGGGGTTCGAACCCGGGACCTTCCGAACTCTAGACGGACGCACTATCTGGTCGCCAACGATCGGCCAAGTCCAGTTCCGTTACAGTATGATAAAAACAATCATAATACGGAAAGGATGTCCTAAGCTTTGCTAACTGTATAATGTCTAAAACTTTTTTTTTATAAAAAGAACAATTGTAATACAAATTATTGAATATACATGTACACTTATATGCTTTGTTTAGAATATTTCCTGTATTTTCGACATTATAGAGGAATACTTAGAGAGGTTACGAATGGTGCATTGTCCACAGTTCGGAACAAAACCAAAATCAGAGAACTCTTTCAACCTAAACAATGGAAGCCTAGGTAAGTTTCAAGTTATTTATTTGTCACGGTAGGACCATTGAAAATCACTGTTAGAGACGCATTATTTAAGCCATGAATGTTTATCAAATGACGTTATTGCCTTATATTTACATTCTGTATGCTTGGACCCATTGGCGAAAACGACATTCATTTTTGCATAACACAGGTGACCTCATCACTGCGTATTGATACACTTTAATGACGTAGCACTGGGCGTAATTGTTACACGTCCGCCGTGAAACAGCCGTGTAGTTTAGTTATGCTAATAAGATTAACATTAAACATGATAGGCTTCATTAAAATTCTAAAATGAGGTGTGTAAGCTAAGGTACATGATAATAATATCCGACGTGTGCTAGTTCTACAAATTAAATTTGAAAATAGAACTATATTCTGTTTGTTTTGTTGTCATGCTGTTGGTAGGACCCCCCCGGAAGTTTTACATTTTCCCGCGAAAACACGCTGTTCTCTCTACTGCGTTGCCCCCATGCACAAATATAATTACAATGCCGGTTTATTGTTATTTATGCTTGCATCGGAACATTCAAAGCACTTAAAAATGTAAATATAAGGAATGAAATTTATTTTATCAACATTCATGAGGTCATAACAACATTGGCTTTCTGGACATATTTACCAAGAATCGCTAACGCGATTCATGGAATATGTCCAAAAACCCAATGTTGTTATGACCTCATGAATGTTGAAAAAATAACTTTCATTCCTTAAATAACACGCATTGCTATTGCTGACAAACTGAATAGAGCCAAAAATACCCGTTAAAGAACCATAACACATTTTGCCAATGCATTAATTACTTATATTTACATTTTGACAAATTAGTTATGATGTATAAGTTACATTGTATTTTAGTATTTTCGAAAAAAAAATTCTTAGTTGTGACCAAATGGAAGGACGCAGAACTACAGAAACATGTAAGAAGAAGTTTGTAAATATTCCATCGCCATGCATAAGCCGGTATGAAATACAAACTAATTTTACTAAGCACAGCATGCCGAACATCACGGACACAACTTGACTGGTCAACACTAACCATTATATTACCACAGTATAGATACATATTATACCAATGGACTGTTGGAGAGCCTTCGACAGTGTCTCCCACTAACGTTTCCTCTGCAAATTATCTACCATTAAATCCCACACAACATTCAAAGCTGGATAAGGAACTGAAGTAACATAGTTTAAGGGAGCAAATTATCCGAGGCGATTGTCTTACAAGGACTCTCTTTAAGGGAACAGATTTAGCGATCAGTTGTGCTCCTTACCTGTAGTTAACCAACGTTCTTCCAGACGTAGTGATGCATCCTGTTTTCCCCCCATTTAATTGCAATATGCGTGAAGTCATCAGTTTGCGAGGGGTGATATAAATGTGGAATGTACCTCAATGTGTTTCTCAGATGGCATACGGTTTGAAGATGACATTTAAAACCTTCATCCGTAATGTGTTAGTATGCCCCTCTCAAGAAAGAAGCCACTAGAACATCGTTGCCAACTCAACAGAGTACTTCTGAAAGTAGCACAGGACAGTTCATACTTTGGTGTCACAATAACCCGTGATTTATATTGAGAGGACTTATGAAAGACCACATCAGCCAATAGGCTGCATCATGTAACAGGTTTATCCGGATCCTGACTTAGCTGAATGTCTTTCAGAAACGCCTTTTTACCCAAGGCTATAATCATTTGCTAAAACCTATTATCAGATCAACCCCGAAAATAAAAGCATTCAAAAGAGAAATGGATGGAGACCGTTTTTACAATGGAAAAAAAGGAAGAATTCGCATGTCACTGTAGCTGATAAGCTCTAGGCATTGGTCAAATCGTCGAACGTTTGTTGTGTCCCGATAAGAAGTAACGAATACTTGGCGACTCTGGGGCATTTAACGTAAAACAATATTGCAAAAGTTCTAATTCGGATTTGTTGGTGTGGCAAATAAGATTTTGGTTAAATATTTTGATGGTTCTATCATGCAATAGCATGTTTAACGTGCTAACAACTTAAACTGTTTTAAAAATGAACTGGATAATCACTGGGAAAACATTTATTTTATAACTTCAGAACTAGTTGATGAACTGTAGTGTTGTTACAATCAAAACAACTTTTTATTAAAACCATTATCATGCATTGAATCCTGTAGCAAAACTCCATCATTAAATATCATTAAATCATTAAACATTAAATATCATTAAATGATTAAACATTAAATATCATTAAATCATTAAACATTAAATATCATTAAATCATTAAACGTTAAATATCATTAAATATCATTAATTAAGTATCAGTAAATATCATTAAACTTTAAACATTAAATATCGTTAAATATCATTAAATATCATTAAATCATTAAACATTAAACATTAAATATCATGAAATATCATTAAATATCATCAAATCATTAAAAATTAAATAACATTAAAGCATTAAACATTAAACATTAAATAACATTAAAGCATTAAATCATTAAACATTAAATAGCAGCATTAACGTAATTTTCGTAGTCGATCTTTTGTTATGTTGGAAGGTTTCCCATTTTCACGCTTTGAAGTAATACATATTGTTTCTCTTGTCTTTTAAATAATGTTTATTAAGTGTTTCTTCGTCCTTGGCTTTTACTTTCTATTTTGATAATCAGAAACTATTTCGATTTAATTGGTGTCGATGCTGTTACATAGGCATCTAAAGACCTCTTCATATAATCGCATGTTATACTTTTAATTTCCGTTGTTTCATTTGTTTTCGTCATTTGCTATTTTGTGCATTTGATGCCCCTCTTCTTCCATATCTGAATATGTTGTGCACCTGCGTTTACCTCGGAAAGTTTCACAGTAGTTGGATTCTAGTTATCCGGGCCTTTTATCATAGCAGCAATTTCCCCCGTACTTAGAACTCTACCTGTTGTGTCAACGCTTTCTTCCTACGATGACTAATAAAATAGTATGTTTGAAGAAAAAACATTCCTGTGAAAATACCATGCTTGCATTTTGTTTCATTGGGTAGCCAGCGACGTGATGTTTTGCCTCTTTTTGTGCCTTTATTTACACAGATACAGAAGTCAATACTACCCCGCCCAGCAGTAGTGACAATTTAACAACGAAATGGGGGAGCTATATGCCATATTCTAGTAATACAGGTAAAATGACAAATATCTTACGTTACTATCAAAATAGTTATGACGACAGGTAAGCATGCTCTTCTCCCTGAACCTGTTGTCCATTATGCGCACACCGCTACTTGCAGTACTGATGCGGCTATAAGTGTTTGACGTTTTTAACTTATTCACTCCTGAAATTTCATAATGAACTATTCCAACCTTTGAATTGGAGGAGTTTAATGTGTCTCTAGGGGTGAATGCGTTAATGATATTGAGGAACAATTCCATATTCATCATAACTATTTATGTATTACTTAAAAGCACTTGATGCTGTATTTGTTATCAAATCTATATATAATGATTATTCAAAAGGTAGACGTATCGATTTATTTACTTTGTTTAATTGAACTTATTGAGTATACATACTTACTATAACGCGTTGACTATCATCGTTAATAAAACATTCTTTATTTAATTTGTGCATGTCAATCAATGTAAATAAAACAAACAGTTAAGAAGATATGAAAATGTAAGTTGGTCCTCGAATAAGAAAGCTAAGAAATTTATTTTGTTAAACCGGGTAAATAACAGTGTTTTCATATATGGCCGATCATACCTCATTCACAGTGCTATTTAAATACCTTTACCATCTCAATATCACCCCTTTTTAGTCTGATGTCATTTAGCTGTCCTCTTTATTGACGTTAGTTGTATTTTTTTTTTGATAAATGAAATAATATCTTAGATTAGTTTAAGTAATTCGGTCATTTGCTGTTGGCGTACTTGTCGTTCATGAACTATGGAAGTAAAACAAACTCTAAAGTGTGTTTATCGGGGATACAAATGTAGATGTAACACCCCAAGCTGAGCAGAGAAAAGCTAAGCAGCGGAAAGCTCCACTCGAGGCTGAGCAGAAGAAAGAGGCTTCAGAGGCTGAGCAAAAGACAGAGGCTTCAGAGGCTGAGCAAAATAAAGATGCTTCAGAGGCTGAGCGAAAGACAGAGGCTTCAGAGGCTGAGCGAAAGACAGAGGCTTCAGAGGCTGAGCGAAAGACAGAGGCTTCAGAGGCTGAGCGAAAGACAGAGGCTTCAGAGGCTGAGCGAAAGACAGAGGCTTCAGAGGCTGAGCGAAAGACAGAGGCTTCAGAGGCTGAGCGAAAGACAGAGGCTTCAGAGGCTGAGCGAAAGACAGAGGCTTCAGAGGCTGAGCGAAAGACAGAGGCTTCAGAGGCTGAGCGAAAGACAGAGGCTTCAGAGGCTGAGCGAAAGACAGAGGCTTCAGAGGCTGAGCGAAAGACAGAGGCTTCAGAGGCTGAGCGAAAGACAGAGGCTTCAGAGGCTGAGCGAAAGACAGAGGCTTCAGAGGCTGAGCGAAAGACAGAGGCTTCAGAGGCTGAGCGAAAGACAGAGGCTTCAGAGGCTGAGCGAAAGACAGAGGCTTCGGAGGCTGAGCGAAAGACAGAGGCTTCAGAGGCTGTGCGAAAGACAGAGGCTTCAGAGGCTGAGCGAAAGACAGAGGCTTCAGAGGCTGAGCAGAAGGAAATCACGACGAGGAACAAACGGTGGTACAACTTCATCTACAAAAAGGAATACATATATGGTAAAAACATGTTACAGTGTGTACAGTTATTTCTTCTTGTTATTACAACTGCTGCAGATTGTTTATCACCGTAATTACATATATAGAAATTTAAATAAAAAAGCAACATAAGAAAATATAAGTAAATATAATGTACAGCTATACATGTTCTGTGGTATTTTTCCAGCAGCCAGCCCTACAACAGTTTTATTGAACTGCACTGTATGGAATAGAATAACTGTCCTATTTAGTTTTTCAATAAAAGCATAATTTCATTTCTTCATTTTAGACCCAATCTGGTACAAGTACAGAAAAGCAAAGTCATTATGGGATGGCATACTTACAGTAAGTACGAGTTATCTGTCTTGGCACATATTCTGTGCGTAACGCCTCTAATCGATCTAATATCATTTTAAAGGTTTTCAAAAATAACGATGTTCCAATGCAATATCATTAAGCCAAGATGTCTTCTTTCTGATCCTTTTTATACTATATATACTCTATAAATTTACAATTTTCAGAAAGCTAGTTGTTTTTCCCCAAAACATGTATATTTTATCATAACACTAGTTAAAGCCTAGTTAGTTTAAATTAACGACATATGACCGTCATTAATCAACCGTGACTGTTACAGCGTAAACCGGACCAGTCCACTACTCGCACCCTACTTACTAGCAGCACACCGTCATCCACATCCAGGGGCATGACCGAATCGTTACCGGCAATGACGTCACGATCTCGCGAGGATTGCATGGACGGAATCAAACCCCAGGATTACCCGGACAGACAAAAGGATAAGAGGAAATACACATTGCTGAGTCTTCTGTGCTGCTGTCGACAGCAGGTTAATGGTTAATCTGGGATATTAACCATTTTCAGACACCAATATCGCAAAACGATCTATGATGAATTTGAAGTATCTTTATTAGAAAAAGGTCTTATATATCAAACATGTTGCAACCATGTCTCATTTAAAGTCACAAAAAATTAGAACAGAAATAAAGAATCAACTTTATCATATTCCGTGGATTCAGAATCCTTGTTTTGTAGAAATACAATGGCGAATCTTCTCATTTCTAATAGTTTTTACTCATTAAGATTTTATTTTCAGGTGGAAACATGATTAATTCGGTTATTCCGAATGTTGTATAGATGCAGTTTGACTTGGAACTGTGGAAGTAATCTCGCGACATATCGCTTATCAATATCTTTAACCAGAAAACATGACTTTCTCTTAAGCTTGCCAGTCTTGATAACTGAAATTTTATGAATAATTTCCTTGAAAAGATATAGATATTCCAAAAACGCATACTCTTCTTTCTTACGTTTCCACTTTTTGTGAAACTGTGATATAAAAATCCGACCGAATTTCTAACTTTCTTTTATTACAGTCGCCAAGTCGTCTCATGAACAACAATGAAACTTTATACTGCGACTAGCAGTCAAGCATACCTCGTCGACATTATAAGCATGCGAGGAAAATAGCGTACGGTCGAGTTTTTGTATTTGTAAATAAGTGAAATTTTCCCATTTTATTCACAGTTAGTTTCTAGCGTTTTCTGGCACAAAACTCGACGAGTTGAGATTATGAAAAAACCCCACCAAAAAACAAAAATTGGCTGGTTGTTTTGATAATAATCTCAAAACTAACCATTTGTACCGTGAGTAGATTGTAGATTGATACGTAGAAAGATGATTTGTTGAGTTTAGATAGGGTTGTCTAGCTTCGTGTTTTCGCCATTTTGCACTGAGTTTTCAAATTAAATTACCAGACTCTGATACATTATATTACCGAAATGTAGTTTATGTTAATTTTGTAAAGTATTCCTGCTTGTGGAAGATATCGAAGACGTCTAACATAGTGATTTTTTTGGTATCTTTAATGCATCGATACTCTGTCAATATACAAGAGTGCATTGTCAATATAACATATTTCGATGTTTTCATTGATGATTATGTATTGACATCACGTAGATGTACCCTTCCACGTTAGCAGATATAACTGATATCAAGCTTTGTCGAGTTGTTTACATTTTTTTTCCATATCGATCCAAGATCTTCGTCGCCAGGAGTTTCACAATGTATCTCTTCTTACTTAATTACTTACTTGCTTCTTTACTCACTCACTGGGGAATGCTAAAGAAAATGCGGAAGAATGGTGCCGGCGTGGTTAACAGACTCGCGTAGCATAGAGAGAATTCTAATTCGTAACATTTTTTCAATGTTAAAAAGTTTCGAAGTGTCAGGGTTTACTACATGAGGGACATCAATCTACTTTCTAGCTTACTCGGGTCTGTTCTTACCTTACGGAACAAAGAGTAAAACAATCTCTCTCCACTTATTCCTGTCCTTAACAACTTTTTCTGCTTCTCCCCACGAAATGTCAAGATCACCAAGTTCTGGCTTTTAATTGAAATAAAGTAATGAACCTACTGTAAATAACCTTTGAAAACTATGTTTACCGAACAAAAAAGTGAGAATTACCCTAAATATGACCAATGCATGTAGAAACGCAGTCATCATGGTAAATATATATATCAACAAGTTTTACATACGTTGTAACAAACAAAAAAAGAAGAAAAGTGATTTTCTAGGGACTCACAGCTTTACTCAATGCCGAGTTTAGAATGTTCCTCCCGTAAACATTTTGTGATTGTGAAGACACAGATTCGAGAAGGACAAGGTGTAATCGCTAACCAAATACATTGCCAGTTTTTTTAAAAATGAAACCCCCATAGTCCACGTACACATCCGACTTCCGGTATTGTTGATTTCGATATTGATGATGACCCTTTCATATACTTATGCCCTAACCTTCTTAATGATCTTAACTTGATAAAAGTGTTGTTGTACAGAGTCATTGCATGTATACTGTCGATCGATTTGACCGGAAACACGCCATAGACACCTGTTTTGGAAAGAAACCAACATGTTCATTTCTTCTTTGTCTCGCAAAAAATCCGCACAGCAGCACATATTTCAAATTGCTGCTACGGAGTATAAGTTTGGATTTCAATGAGAGAACAACAGAACTACCAATGGCGTCTCGATACAGTGTCGTTCATAAAGTGAGAGAACAACAGAACTACTAATGGCGTCACGATAAAGTGTCGTTTATAAAGTGAGAGAAAAACAGAACTAACAATGGCGTCACGATACAGTGTCGTTCATAAAGTGAGAGAAAAACAGAACTAACAATGGCGTCACGATACAGTGTCGTTCATAAAGTGAGAGAACAACAGAACTACTAATGGTGTCACGATACAGTGTCGTTCATAAAGTGAGAGAACAACAGAACTA